CCTTCAATTGTCATACTGACAAGTTGTAGTCTAAATGATAATAGGTGCATAACGTTGGATTGTTTTTTGACCACCACAGTTTCTAACTAAAACTGTGAGCTCGCTGTACTTTCCTTTTTTCTGATAATGAAACACGGAAAAAGAATCTCTCATTCTTTTGAATATCTCAATTACGATTAATTTTATCTTTGCTTTATTTTTTATGTGTGTATATTTTGGGTATTGCTATGTTGTTAATGAAATTCGGGGATGTGCTTAATTAGTTCATTTAATATAATGTCTTAACTCAGGTATCTTTTACATCGATTTATTATTCAAATTGTTAATGTATATGTTAAGTTAGTCTTTTTTTGTAGAACCCTGAAGGAGATAATTTTTTCCGAAACGTCGGCAACTTTGTAATTGGAAACTGTGTTTCTTCAGACCCCAAATCCAATTAATTACAAGAAATACATAAATAAGGGTACATTAGAATATTTTTCTATAATTAAATGGCCATTTAGTATCACTTACCTATCCTTGTTGCAGATACACTATAATAATTACATCAAAATATGTGCGCACACACCTATACGATTGATAAGAACCAAAGATTTTGTGACAGATTATCAGCTTGAAATTAATCCGAAGTTCACTGATACTACAATATTATATTGTCAATGTTCGATGTAATCGTTATCAATTCGAATGTGTTTCAAATCAGTATATACAGAGAGAGAGATGTACATTCGCAATTAGGTGAAACTTATTTCTTGGTAACGATTTCTTGATCGGTCTAAGTATACATAGTCTTGGGTAGGTATAAACTATTCGAATGTTATTGCTGATTCAAATAAATGTACTAAAAGTGAAAAAGACGCGTTTATGCAGTAATGCTTAAAGTAATGGGACTATCTGGAAAACTAAGTTCTGTAATAAGTGCCGCAGTAATTTTTCAGTGGTATCTCTGGTTTAGTGGGTGTACAACTGGAGCATTAGTCGCCATTTAGATAAATGTCGCTATCGGTCCTACTTAAAAAAATAGAAGCAAAGATCAGTGTCCATAAAGGGTTTTATTCGGCCATGAAATTAACTAAAATTTCCAGTTATCACATCTTTGAAATTTTTGCATTTATTATTTCCCAACATATTTTAAACTTTCATCTGGATTCTTCCGTTTATTGCAGTTTATCGAGTTTGTGTAAAATTCACCCAATTAGGCATATTATCTTATTATTTTCATTATTTTTTAACATATTTAACTTGACATGTCTGTATGTACTCGTGCCATGTATAAATTATACATGGGACAAATCTTGTAACTGAATTTTGAACCAGTCAACCTTAACCAATTAAGCTGAAACTGTATACACGCGTTTAATTTGAGTGACAATACAAAATTAATTTGATGCCGCCACTTTGAATCCAATATGGCGGATGCTTCAAAATGGCGATTACATTTTTCAGTTACCCCTATGATATGGGTATCAAATGAAAGAGCTTGATGAGAGAAACGCAATAACCAAAGTGACATCACTCTAAATCCGATATGACGGCCGCCCCAAGATGGCGTTTTTAATTGTCATAGTAATTTTATTATCATAGAAACATAACAAGACACGCGATGTCATTCGGAATCTAATATTGGGGGCATTGCAAAATGGCGATTTATTTCTATATTTATACTATGAGTATCAAATGGAAGTCCTTAATCAAGTTCAAGCGAATAACCAAATGAAAATGGTATTTACCGTTTTGGATTGGTATTTACCGATCCGTTCAAGCGAGTGTGGTTATCAGTTTGGTTACAAGATCCGTGACGTCATGAATCAGCTGTTATATGTCATAGTTATCACCGAAAACTTGTGGTATGTTCCCAGCTTAGGAGTAGTTTTATATTTCTGGTTATTATTTGAAATGTGACAAGTTAGACTTTTGGACGGGTATTGGATATTTTTGTTGTACTTCAGCTTCATTTTTGGGAAACTTGTTACAGGCTGACTTCAGTTGTAGCATAAAGTAGAGCACCTTATTAGTTATACGCATTACTGTTGTTGGGGACACTTTGAATCTAGTTCCTATGCTTAACAAAGTATGCTGTGTAGCCATATACCACAAGAATATTAAAATATGGCCATATAAACTCGCTGGATAATCTTCTGTATACGGTTTTGCTAATATCTTTTTAATCGATTTTTAGTTTAGAGAATTGAAAGTTATCATAGCTACAAAGCCATGGTTCCATGATTAAACATTATTTTTTTTCTGAAATAAAAAAACATGTTCGCATTAATACTATGAAAAGTTTCTTTTTTAAATTTCCCATACACTGCTGTAGACGAAAAAGCACCGATTATAAAGTGATAAAAATAGTCAGAAATTATATACGTGCTTTTCTAAAATAAACAACCAACGCGTTCAGGCGATTCGAGTTCCTGACGCCATCAACCTGTGTGTCAAACCATATTATAACCGCGGTACATAACACAGAAATTTTGGTTATTCCCTTGGATTTGATTTTAGATGAGGAAAACATAATAAAAGCAAAGTGACGACATTCCAGATCCAATATGGCGGCTGACACTGAAAGGCTATTTATACTTTCCATGGACACCGCAATGAATGGCCATCAAAAGGAAGTGCTCAGCCAGCTAAGTAAGCAAGTTTAGTAGGCAAACTCGAAGGGCTGTAGACCGTCTGCATCAATACCTATTTGTTTTTTTTTACACAGTGGTCCAACCTTGCGTGAACGGTTTATTTCCATTTGAGGAAATCGTTAAGCAGCTTCATAAAATATCTGATTTTACGGTGTATTTATAAAAGATTTTTCAATAAAGAGATAATTTTGTATTTAAATAAAACACAATAATTGGAGATATTCGAATTGAATTTATTCCAGGTGCAGTAGGCATGTAGCCTTTCAATCACTCTCACACATATGTATCGTCAACGTTGGCGGCAACAACTCCAACGGTGAGACCGTATGACTACTTCCTGCAAGCAATATCGTGCCGTATAGGCTTTGGTAGTTCGCTTCATGCGATTTAGTTGCGGTTCGCGATCTTTTACTCAGGATATCAGTATACCCATAATCTCATTGTTATTCGAAAGTCGTGATCACGTCTCGGCTTTAAATCACTGATATCAAAAATGACGATATGAGATGTACGAAAATAACGATATCGGCCATCTCTAATGTCACATCCATCCACTTCTGACTAAGAATAGTCTTCCAACATTGCATGATAGCAAATCGCATTGATTGCAGCATCGACGAAAAATACGGCCCAATAACTACACCTCCGGCATGAAATCCACAGACGGTCAGTTTTTTGGGTTCGTTGCTGTCCAGTTACTCTTATTTTGCTTATTGATAAATAAGCCATTAAGACAACATGGGTTTCATCACTGAAGATGTTTTTTCGACGAAATCCTGTCTTTTCAAACCTTTACAGAGCAAATGAACTTGTAGGGGTGTAGGCCAAGATATTTACGCAAAATTCTCTATGATGTGATTTGAGAAATTCCCAATTCCTGCGAACGGCGTTTAATCGACTCATTTTGAACCACTAAGGGCTGCGATATTTTCGATACTTCAACATAGGAACATACAATTTATTCACTACCGCATGCACAGTCTCCTGATGAATGTGGTGATACCACCGAAATATGGAGTTTTTAAGTTGATGTGCGCACGCAGAAATTTTTCTTAGGGGGCAGAGGCTATCATCACCAGGGCATGATTTTCTGTGAAAAAACAAAACTGAGAGAACTTGGAGAGCGGGGGTAGCAAATTTTCTTAGGTAGGAGGGCAAATCCTAAGAATCCCAAAAATTGTGCACAAAATCTTGCTCAATATCCAAATTTTAAAGTCCAAACTCGAATCTCGATGGAGGGGGGGGGGCTCCCCTCTTGCGCGTCAACTGGGTGGATCAAAACCAATTCATTATTTTTTGTTCCTTTGCGATCCCAATATTTTCCTTGATTACGCATGGGCAGTGGGGATGGCAATATTTTAGCGTAACAAAAAAGTACGAAAATAACGTTTATATGTATATATCTTTGTGATATACTTCACGACAAAAAACGGAAATCGCAAAAATACTCAATGTTAGGAGGTGGTTTAAAATATTTTAGTTTCTTGTTTTATTCCTCTTTCTCATAGATCCCAATTGATCCATTCCAAAAGTACAAATTTTATTAAAATCCACCTATCGCCGTCGGTTACTGACATTACGCGGCCACTAACCGAAATCAACCTCATGGTCCTTCTTCATGGAAACATTATAAATTTGGCTTATGCTAGAAAAATTTTAACTGCGGTTAATAAACCATATACATTATATAAATGTAGTTATATCACACTATTTACTTTCCATAATTCCAATTTTATCAACTAGTCATACGTAAATAAACGTACTTTTTCGTGAATGGGTCCACTGCCCGATTTCGTGTTAGTAGGTTTGCAATTTTTGCTATAATTTTATTTGCTGTGGTATAATTGGCTAGACTAACGATAGGAGTTTGTTTGATCCAAAGTTATTTGGCAATCTTAGAAAGCTTGAATATTCCATTCTCTATGGAATATAACCTCGGAAACATGTGTCCTGTGTCACCTACTCATAACACTTTATTGGTTTTTTCAATTCCTATCAAATTTTCAAAATTGTACATAAAAGCATGTCAAGTATACGAATTCTAAAGTCCAAGTCTCAGGGGGAGGGGAGCTTGGCCCCTGGTATCCCCCTGCGGGGCGCCCATGTTAAAGTTGCGATCAGCAACTTCAAAATTTTGGCAATGACAGATCCTGAAAAAGGTTTTAGGTGCGTTTCAATTGCAATACAAGCTCATGTCCCTATTAGAAAATCCTTCAATATTTAATTTACATATTAGAATAATCCTCTTTTTTAAGAGCAGCTCAAAGTATTCTGTGTTGTGATGAGTACTTTTTGAGCTAGTCTATTGTATCTCCACTTTATCAATAAATGGGTATATCAATGGGATAGAAAATGAAACACGAATTTTTGATAGAGCTTCTATTAATAGAAAATAAAAAATACATTTACATTATATTGTAAAACTACCTCGAACATATAATACATATATATTGCGTGAATTACAGGGGTCCATATTGAAACTACGATCATTCAGAGAATTAGAGCACTCTAACGGAATGTAACACAAAGTTTCTCAAGCTGCAACTCGCAAAACATCCTAATTTCGATATGGTCCAACAGGTTTAAGGCACCTGTGATTGTCGCCACCATGTAGCCACAATCGCCTGTGTAAAGCCACATTATTTGACAGGGGACTGATGGCCCAACAGCACGGTAGTACCACCTGGTAAAACCTACAAATGCTGTGACAGTTGATATCACCTGTATACAATAACACCAGGATGTGAAAGTCACAATTAATAAGATATCTATAATTAATTAATTTCTTCTATTTACAAAAATAATGTCGGCGATCTAAGGTCAGATGGTAGTGCTAATTATTTCCCTGATCGACTAGGAAGGCACTACCCAAAATTATCAACAGGATACTATTTCCAATCAATATTATTCTATTAGCGGAACAAGTATTTGTACCTATATCTAGCTTAACGTTAAACCTTATATTTACAATATGAATCAGCGACCTATGTTTGTATGATAAAATGTTTACGTTTGATGTAGTGTGATTCGTAATTATCTATAACTCCAACCCAGCATTCATAGAAACTCATTATGAAATTAGGACGCGAAAATGAAATCGAAACTTGATAAGTTTGAGCTCGTAGTCCTCCTCTAGACGAATAGAATAAAATATTAGCATTATCGCCTGATGTTGAACAACTAAGAGGATATATAAAGATGCATGCGGCATCTTGGTGCAAATTTATACAGGGGGCAGCACCAATCCAACAGCTCGAGCGCTGTGACTGACAATCGCCTGTCTTCTACAAGAAAGACCCTTCTGGATATACTTGGAAATGAGCCCTTCTCATTCTTTTGTAAGAAGTCTGTTGGATTGCCTGAGAAGCATATACTTTCATATTGGTTTGCTTTATGTGAAACTAATCTGTTAATTTTCAACATCCTTAGGTCGGTCTTGTACTCAGTAAAATATTTGTATGCAATCTAGTTTTCGAAAAGAATTCAGCAAAGTTTTGTTGCATAAATATTTTTGATTTCAATATTTTATTTTCATTTTTACTTTTAACTGGAATAGAATAAAAATCACCCATTTCCAAAGTACAAGCATGGAATTTCATATACTGCACATATGAAAATCCTACAAAGTTGCACCGTTACATGTTTATCTAGAATGAGTCAAAAATTGTCATACCTTTTCAGATTTAATAATTCTAATTTTGATCGGATCAAATCTACTCATTTTCAGAAATGCTAAGTAATGCTAAAACCTACCTTTACGAAGTTTTTTCTTACAATAAAGAGGCGATTCTCGCCACTAGGATTAGTAATGTTTTGGATAACAATTGCTAAATCAAATTCGTTTTGCATATCGTTATAATTTGTTGGAATTAATATGTAGCAGTGTTGCTTACCTTTGTTATATAGAATATGAAAATGTGTACAAACCTGGTATACCGTCCAAGACAAAGTTAAGATCGTCTATTACAACAAAAAATTGATTTTATCAGTACAGTTTAATTTCCACACCCAAAGTCAGCTGTTTTACACTTTCACAAAAAATATTGGAGAATTAGAAAGAAGAAAATAATTTACATCTAACGTTTTTTTGAAAGAATACTCAATTTAACCACAATTCTCTAATCCAGGCAGAATCATTATCATTTATACTTAAATGTGTTTCAACAAAACACAATGTTTGGAATGAGATACACATGTGACTTCCACTTAAACTAGTTATTCAACAATGACAAGTAGAGACAGTTACATTATAGGTAAAGACATGAGTTCAAATTATTTCTGTGAAAATGTAAAGAATACCGTTCTGCTATACTGTAATTGGGAAATATGGAATTTTTGTTGAGTTGGAAAATATATGTTCTAAACCAAAATTAGATTTTGAACATTTGTTTTTTGTAATCATCATATTCTGAAAATAATGACTAACAAATTTAGAAGATTGTGAAAAACCATACAAAAATTTCATGCCACCAACACCAGTGTATTGTGTTTCACAGTATCAAGTTCCATTGAAATGTATCATAATTATTCGGCAGTATAGGCTATAAGGAATAGTTCTGAATAAGTCGAAGTATACCCGACAGCTGTGCTATTTATTCGGTCAATATTTGCATAAATTTTGCCAAAGCAAAATAAAAACACAACAGATTTGTCATGGAAAGTCAATAAATGGTGAGGAAATGATCCATCTACCGATGGAAATAAGAAAGCAAACAATAGCTGAGATAGAAAACTTCTTGGCTGTCTATCAACAATGTTTGATGAAAATCAACAGACGAGTACAAAATGAACAAATAACTCAAAGAAAATTGTTTCACAGACAATCAAGCATGAAGCAGTAGGAAGTATATAGTATAGAACTAATTTGAGTTTAGCAAACAGCTTGCACTTGGAAGTACTCTTTGAATACCAGGACACAAAAGTTCCAAAGAACACGCTACTGAAGAAGTAGGAAATGAAAGATCTATTCTCTGGATATCCCAAAAAAATCAACTTGCCCCGAACTATTCCCATAAAAAAATAAATTAGCCTATGAGTAATAGAATATTTAGGGTAGGAAAAAGAAAATTGGACCAACCTTCTCTGACACGTAGTTCCGATGCGTAAATGTCAAATGTAAAATAAAAATGTGTGCTTTACATACCATTTCAACCAGGTAAATGTTACGCGCATGTGTTTGGTTTGTGCACTTTGCCAAACCTGTCAAAAAATAAATAAGTGTCAGTTACCCGTTCTTGAGATGTTTTTCGCTTCATTCAGTCCATGCAATAAATCAAGGTATCTGGGTTAAGTCAAATTCTGTGCAACTGATACGATGAAAATCATGAGAAAAGACACGATTCGGTCGTATCGAAACGAGTTCGTAAAACCTCCGGTTGATACAAGTCATGGAAATGTTTTCTTTTTTTTTGAATTGCAAGAATATTTATTCAATTTCGTTTCATTATTGTTTGAGTTGGTTTTGTACTATGGCCACTTGGAGCGCTAGTATCGTACTTCAATTCGGAGGAAAATACAACCGACAGAAGTAAGATGCCAAAATAAGACTCTTAACGGAAGTTGTCAGACCTATGCAATTTAAGAAAGATTTCTAATTTTATTTGCTATCTTCTAGACATCTAGCTTGAATACCGAGGTTTTTACAAGTCGCGTGTTCACCTAATTATAAATGTTACTGCGTGTCAAATGATAATGCTTCGCATAATATATTCTTAACCATTATCATGTCCACCTTTGGAAGCTTAATGGAATCGATACTCAAAAAACCTTCTTCCGTTTTATTTATTGTCCAGTGAGAAAGTTCACATTTCAAATTTGAATTACGCGGCAACCGTATACGCGAGGAAGTGGAGAAAGGTCTTGATCGACGCGTTCAGCGTGCGGGTTAAATAGTCACAATGGAACGTTGGACCGGAACGCAACGTGCTTTTGCTATCGAGCCTTACTTTAAAAATGGTGATTCATACGCAGCTGCCCTTCGGAAACTTTTTACACGATACAACATTCGCGGATCAAGAGATACCCCAAGTTAGAACTTATTGAAAAAGTGGGTCAAGAGGTTCCGTGAAACAGGCTCTACTTTTAGTCAACCCATTCCTGCCCCCCTACTGTATCACCCGAAGAAAATGTGCGTCGAGTAAGTGATTCGGTCATTGCAAATCCTCGGCGTTCTGTATCGAAGCATTCCGCAGCTTTGGGAATCCCTAGGTCAAACCTGTATGGCATAATGAAAAAAAATGGGTTTTCATCCTTATAAAATACAATCAGTCCATGCTTCAAAGGAAAGTGATTACATAATACGGAAATCTTGTGCTGAACGGATGTTGAATCTTTCTCCTATGCAGCGCAGACTCGAGAACGTTGTTTTCGGTGACGAGGCCCATTTTCACTTAGACGGTTATGTGTGTCATACATTGACAGTCAATTCCGAGCGATACAAGGACATGATTGACACTTTTTTGTTCCTATTGTAAGAACAGAACGTCGATTTACCAGAAACACATGGTTTCAACAGGATGGGGCCACTGCCCATACTTCCAGAGAATCGATGGAAATGGTGAAAGCACTTTTTCCTCAAAAAGTTATATCGAAGTTTGGAGACATTTACTGGCCTCCTAGGTCACCCGACCGCACGCCATGTGATTATTTTTTGTGAGGTTATCTAAAGTCAAAAGTGTATTCCAACATTCGACGAGAAATAAACATCACTCCGGAACTCTGCAGGAGACTGTTTCAGAATTGGGGCGCGCGATTAGAAGAGTGTGTGGCTAACATTTGGACAAAATGATATTTAAGAAATAAAACCCGCCGAATTTACGAATATGTTGATAGCAATAAATATTTTTTCATTAAGTTATTTTTTTTTCTTAAATCAAAAAGTGAACTTTCCCACTGGACACCTATACATCTATAATATCGCACTCTAGACGCGCGAAGGCGGTCGACTACAGTACCACTGGAAATGTCATATAACTGCCTTAAATTTCAAAGTATCGGAATAAATCTCTCAGATTTTTTGAAAATATCAGTTATACTATTATATACAAGTGAAACTAGCAGTATTTTCGACTATAGGAAACTTCCTAATTCCTGTATATCGAGCTGCGATACCAGCGTTTCAAGTTGTACTTTCAGTGACATGAATTTGGCCAAAAAAATGTTGCAATTTCAATTGTCAAATCTCGGAATGAACCAATTACTAAAAAGTAAACAATCTATAAATTTTATAAACTTATATTTTCTGGGTTCACAAGTTGCGGAACTATGACTATTTCAATGTCTAATCTTTGAATGGTCTGGATACTAGTGATCTAGTATATATTTGATTCTCCTCGTATACCTTTGCTAGGAGATTATTCATCTCTTTGTCCATTGTTAACACTTGTGCATACTTTGTTACCAACCGGCTAATTTTCCCGATCCAATATTTTTGAAGGTACGACCGGACGGAAACGATTTAGATCTTAGCTAGAAATTAAAATTTGACTTAGTTTAGGCCTTGTGGGTGGTAAACCAGGTACACCGGAGATCATCTGAAACGTGGCTGCATCAATACTGGGCCAGCTGGAAACATTGGAGCTCCATATACCATACCAGGGGGAACACCGATCATACCTAGCAGAGAAAAAATAACAACCACATTACTGACATTCCAAAGCGTCAAGGGAAATGGGGAGTACTTTCAGGTTGAACATTGTCATTTTTTCACAGTTTGGTATGGTTTCAAATTCGCGATCAAATGAGAGCATCTATCAGTCTTATACTTGAACAGTAGTGACAAAATCATAGTTTTACGTCTTCTTTTATCTTCATGATGCGTAACAAAATTGTTGCCATATAAGTGCATTGCTCAAAATACTTAAAGGACTTTCAAGTGATTTTATGGAAAAAAACTGATATGAAGGAATCGCAAAATAATCTAATTATTCGGAGAACGAAAAGTCAAACATTGAACTTAAAACGATTCCAGTATTCACTAAACACTTTTTTGAGTCAGCAATGATTTAGGCTTAGTACTGCATATACAGGGTATGTAAAAAGTAAGGTAATATACTAAGAGGATGATTCATGTGTTCATTTTCAGAAAACTGTTTATTGACGGAAGTATTAAAGGTCTTCAAGTTTGAGATAGTGTGGGTTTTGAATTTGAACTGAATGGTTTCAAAGAAAAATATGGTATGCAACAATTTTCAGGCAACAAAAATTAATTTCATTAATTTTCATTAACTTCTGGGCAAAATTTGACTTCTTGCTTTTCTTCCCACAAATTACGGGCTTCGCATAGAAAATAGGAAACAGTCCCCTGGTGGTTGTAGTAGCTACATTGGTATAATGATGCAAAATAACATATTGTAGCTATACCGTGCGAATGGTTTACGGTTGAGATCGACCGGTTTTCAATGTGTACGCAAGAGAGAATCCAGAGAAAATTGCAGCACGTATGATAGAAAGAGTTAGAAAGAGAGGGCATACAAGTAGTAACAACGGCAGCGAGAATGTTACGGTGCACTCTTTCCAGCATGAGTGGTACACGCTTCTCTTGCTTGTCTCTCGTACACATTGAATCTCGGCCGGCCTCAACCGTAAATGACACGCACGCCTATTCTTATTTTTTCGCGAAAAGCGTAAATTGGTGCAAAGATCACGAAATCGATCAGGACTTAATTTGAATTAATAAAACGATTTTTGTCATGTGGATAAGCAGTGGCTGACCATATTTTTCTTTAAAACTATTCCGCTCAAATCTCTCTGAAAATATAAGACGTTTGGGGCAAACGTTGATATGCGACTTTTTTTTTGTTAGAACTCTCTCAAAGATCGCCCCATTGAATATTTTACTTTACTTTTCAAACACCTTGTTTCAAGGGGGCTTTTACTACTTTAACACTCTGATTTTATTTTTATCAGCTAAACCTGATGAGAATCTGCAATGCTCTAGATCAGGAATATCTAGATAATATTCATTGTTTCGATTTTTCTTATTGTTGAGACATCGCAAGTGTGACCTGGATTACCAAATGTTCACAAATATCCAAGCAAAGTGTTAAAATGCTCAATCATGTCATATTTTTCTAATATTTTCTTTTGTCTTTTGAAAAACGTTTCAAATACTTACCTGATGGTACGTGAAAGGTACATTAATTTCAATGCAAAAAGCCTAGCAATGGGACACACAGCTATCTCTACATAAAACCACACAATACAGGTGTTCCATTATCATCATAACTAAAAGATTGCTCTCTAAGTCAACTAACTTTCACAAGCACTGTATGTTCCAAAATGTGCATTTAATATTACTATTAATGTCACTTTCACCATTTCAACTTCAGAAATATTAGCATAGTCGGATTTTTAGTGACCGTTCGTCTAGAGAGATTAATTTTAGAACTTATCAAAATAGATAAAAATTGTGAATATTTAGTGAACATCATTAATCGTATGATAATCAACTGCTGTAGGAGGAATTTGTGAATCACTATTCCTGAATGACATTAATCACTTTATGTATTCAACGAATGTTGCTTTCTAGTACAACCATTTGTACTAGACGTATTATACCTGAAAGATAACCAACCTAATGTTGTATTTCCGCATCCAAACAAATATCTGAGATAAAATAAGATACCGTAGTGTGATCTATGAGTTGTCACTTGTGATTATTTATTTACTATACAAGGTGAGTTTTTAGTGTGGGCTCTGTCGACAAGTCTGTTATTAGGCATGGTATTTAAGAAAGTCGTATACAAAAATTGTGGCCAACACAACTGTGTACTGCTGACTTGGAAAATATTTTTATTTCTACAGATTCATAACTACGTGGTGACCCAAACATGTATTTTTTTTAATTCAATAGTACATATTTTATTGCAGATTCGTATAGAGCTTTTCAAACGCAGCAATTTGATATAACATACTATAGGGTTATTTGCAAAGACATTAAACAACCTAGAGAAAAGAATACTCAACTTTGACAACTCGCACATCCGCAACTGTTACAGCTACAGAACTGCGTTTTTCATCAGAAAATCTGTATGATCCCATACTTCCTCCACATCTACTAAATTTTTCATTTTTTTTGTGGATAGGTTAAATATGGTGGTTAAGAACGCAAAATGAAAAATTTCTCAAAATTTTATATTATAGCATTAGGTTGGCTATCTTCAGGTATAATATTTTAATGCATGGTATATCAGCAACGAAAGTAGCAATTTTCGGAAACCATAGAAAAGTTTTTCCTAAGGTTGATATGAGCAAGTAACATTACGGGCTAAAAAGGCTGTAAAACATATATTGAAACATACAGGAAATTGTTATCTCTAAGGAAGTCTGAATAGACAAGACATCTATGCGTGTGTGAAAAAAATGACAATATTCAAATCTACGATTGAGAAATGTTGGTGTGATTAGTGTAAATGGAAAAATTTAAATACACGTAAATATATAAATAGATTACGCAGTCAGAATGATAAATGCAATAAGTCCAACCAAATGACAGTAAAAAATCAACCAACTGCAGAATTTTACAAAAACCCACATTAATATTAATACTGACATACCAAGTTGTCATCACATCCATCAAAACAAAAATTAAAATAACTTTTCAGATGATCATGCAGGTTTAAAATAGTCCAAAGTGTCTAGAATTTCAAGTTATGTATGTACGGATATTACAATGGATTTATATATTTGAGGGTAAATGAAGCCCATTCGTCTGAAGCACAGGTCCTCAAACACATTTCGTCTATTTTCCACTTTGAGATGCATCGGTGCTTCTGAGAACGTCGCTAACCAAATCAATTCAATGTTCCAGAATTTCGTTTAGTCTCTTTACCATACATGTAGGTTTTCCACCACAGATTTGGCTACTTATGCGTAGCCTGATGAATTGAAAAAAGTGGATGCAATAACAGCTCAGCATATCAAATTTAATCTAAGTATGGATATTCCTAAAGCAACCCCGAACCACTGCCAAAAAAAACTAAGCGAGTGACAAATATCTGATGCAGGCATGCCAACACTGAAGTGCGTGAGTAGTATACCTGTGTAACAGCCATGTAAATCGCCTTGGATTCGGCTGAGTTCGGACGAACATAGGGATTTTTTTTAGTTGCACTTCCCGATCACTGTGTATTCACAAGTGAATCGTTTTCCACAACTTATAAATTAAGCTCACGTGTTTACCTTTAGCATGTGGGTCGTTATTATCGTGAATACTAATTTACTAGTAGGTAATCTTAATCTGAATCACATTTCTTGCACTTACATGGAGACAAAGGTTCAAAGAAAGCAAAAATTGAAGAACAAAAGGGATATGTTATGCTCAGCAAAAGACAAGTTCTAAAACCGTCACAGGTCTCTTTTATATAATTTTCTCAGAAAAATTAAAACGTGTATTCTTTCTCCACTTTTCTAGTTGTAGTTGATGTGGTAAACAATTCACCAGTAAAAACAACTTGTGTTGTCCAATTGATATAAACAAAAAATAAAAAATATAATAAATAACCGGTCTTCTATCATAAATTATTTTACACAACAAAATCATTTTTTTAATCCTGCATACAGTCCTTGATAACAAAAATGGTAAAATAGCGCAGCGCAACTGAAATAGCCGTTTTTATTAACACGCTTTTATTAACTTGACCTGTATGTAACAGAATCTTCATACCTAATTTTCGCCAATTTCAAGAACTGTGATTAAATTTAAAATTTCCACAGCAGCCACGGGCCGGTGAAAATACAATAATATTGCAACAGAAATCGAATTTGAAGTTTTTTCAAGAATTTTCATTATGGAAAAAAATTTTGGCTTTGAAAATTTGGATTTGAATAAGTGAAAAATTCGGAAAATAATTTGAAAATTTACAAAAAAAATTGGAAAAATTTAAAAAAGGTAAATTTAGTTTTATTGTCAGATATAAAATATACCAAAAATCGAATCTCATAACTTTTGTTGACGTTTTGAGACTACAAATTTAGAACATGAATATTAAAACTTAAAAAACACGCTTAAATAGCAAATCGAACTAAAAAGTGGAAAATGATTTTCAAGTAATAAAGAGTTTGTGTTACTGCAATAGAAAAGTCCAACAATCGAGTATGACTAATTTATTTGGAATAAAATCAATATAAAAATTAAGATATTAACAAAACATTCAATTATAGTGAAAAAGCGTGGAGTGCAATTAACTATATTTTCATAGCAACACCAATTTAGAAAAATCATTTAATATCAAGCATTATCACTATAATTTATTGAATTTTTTGTTAATCTTAATTATTAAGTTTAAATTAATTGGTGATATTTGGTTGTTGGACTTTCCCTTACAGTTAAACTCACCTATGCTTGAAAATAATTTTCTACTTTTTAGTTCGACTTGCTATTAAAGCGCTTTTTTAGTTTTTTCAAACTACAATTCTTTAGCCGTTTGACAGAATACCTGTTCCGTTTTGGTATTAACTATACACTGACAACCAAATTTGTCTGACGGCTTGAGTTCAATGTGGAGAGAGAAGTGTGTATAGACACATATCTTAGAAAGAGATAGAAGCCGACTGGATAACGAAGCTCATCACTGCGTCGCCATGCAGCGCTAACAACGCAAACTGCCGCGTAG